TTAGTTTGTGTAGAATATTTATCTTCAAGACAATACAAGTTAACACCAAATAGAAGGCTCTTTCAAGCACACCTTCAAGTTTATCCTTTTAGTTGATAGCATAAACAACTCAAACTTTAGTAGGCACTGGTTTATTTCTAAGAAAGAAAAGATTGCATCCGACAAGTTCTGACATTATATGACAACATCATGACAATTACGAGGGCACAGTAACAATCATAGTAAGTGTTATTAAGTCAAAATAGAGCTTTGAGGAGATGATGGATATCTCCGGGTAAGAATAGAAGAAACAGTTCCTCACATTGATAGAGAGCACTAGAATCAAGAGTCAACAATGGTCGGCACTGATTAGAAGTATGTTCGCATGTTGAGTTATTTGTGCTAAGTATACCATCCGGTCATTCAATGTTTATCTACTGAAACATTAAATTAATATCTTTTTTGGGATAACTATATATGGCTCTAACTTATCCGACCGCCATTGACAGCACAAACAACTCTTGCTTTTATCAGGCGCCGTTTTACTTCCTACAGAAAGAAAGACAAATTCTGCTATCAGATGACAACATATACTACGATACCATGACGACTATAAAAGCACACAAACAATCATAATAAGTTTGCACTTACTCAAAGCTAGAGCTCTAACTCGAAGAGACGGTGTTTGGATATGGGGTAATATCTATTAACCTAAGGTCACCTGATTGAGGATTGGTGCCCTTTCAACAAGGGGCAGTAACTTCACTTACTGGTGGGTGTGAAATGAAACAAATTGAAACTGAAACCAACTGCAATTTGACCATGGTAATGACGAAACTGAAACCTCTGCCACCAAAGCACTCATACTCATAATATAGTCATGCTCGCCGGCCAACCCACCGGCCCTTTCTTTCTATGTTAAGGGCGTATTTGATGAACTGCTCTTTCACTACCAGTTGGGACACATAGGCCTACAAGTTGCTGGTCTTGTTGCGGTTTAATCTTGTGCTCAAGTTAAGTTTTATTTCGATTGGTTTGCATTCTAACATCACATTACATAACCTGCGAACGTACTTCTAATTAGTACCGCAAGTAAGAATATGAGCACGGATTGAACAAGTTCAAATCAGGTTTGACTCCATTCAATGGAGCCATTTGTTTGAGAAAAATAGCACATGGTGATTCGAGTTTTATCTACAACACACGTGGGCATTAAATTAACGATTCTTTAAAGCATATGCATATATATGGTTCAAATTTATCTCTTCGCCGCCATTGACAACATAAGCAACTCATGCTTTTATTAGGCGCCGCTTTTGATTTTAAAGAAAGACAACAATACATCAAACGAGTTCTGCTATCAGATGACTACATCATCACAACTGTAAGAGCGTGTAGACAATCATAGTGCGTGTACTAATATTTATCTAAAACATCTGCAAACATTAATCCAATATTTCTTGTTAACAAAACTATCTATAGGTTTGAACTTATATGGCCGCTAGTGAAGCATCAGTATCTCTTTTAAGAAAAAACAAACAGTACACAAAACAAGTTCTATTATCATATGCAAACATATACTACAACAACATTACAACACCATGACGATGATAAAAGCACACAAACAATTTGTATTAACTCGGTGGTAAGCGCTAGTCTCTACTCTCTTAAAGCTCCAATATTCCCGCTGTGATTCAGCTTTTGCAAGACTCTGTAACGAAGAGCCACTGTTACCCTTTGAACTCCTCTCCAGGCCTCCAAGGTTCCGCCGCTTGCATTTCTTCCCCCTTATATAACAAAGCAAACCCACCAGCCATCGAAACATGGAAAACCCAATTCCTTCCACAACAGCAGCCATGGAAATGGAACCCAATTCAGCAGCAACAACCCATGAAAATGGTAGCTTGGGTCGGGTCAATTCATTGGAACTTGGGAGGCTCCATTGTTGTTATGATCCTTTTCTCGTTCTTCGGCCAAGCTGCTTGTGGCCTAACCTTTGGAGTCGTGCCCTTTGTCTCCAGAAGGTAGAATATATATCATTATATATTAATACGGTAACATATGTTAGTGTCGTATTTTACTAACTACACATATGTATTTAGGTCTTTAGGGTTAATCTCGGGCATGACGGGAGGAGGAGGGAACGTGGGAGCGGTGAGAACTCAGCTGGCATTCTTCAAACGGTCAAAATTTTCCAAGGAGACTGGAATCACATACATGGGAATAATGATCATTTGCTGCACTCTCCCTCTATGTTTGATCAACTTTCCTCGTCGTCGCTAGCAGAATTCGCGGTCTGAATGAATGCCCGTCGTTTAACATGGGACGCTATAGATTGTACTCTGATGTTACAAGCTATCCATGAGTACTGGATGCTTTTGTTTGTGTATTCTACTAGTGATGTACCATGTTAGCGTTGTTCTATGTGAAATTTACCAGGTAGTGTTGTACCATGTTAGTGTTGTTTTGTGTTACATTAATTGAGCAATAAAACAGAGGATCTAACAAGCCTAAACACCAAAACAACGTCCTTTCATGTTCAAGAACAATGCCACTGGTGATATCTTTTGCCTTTAATACTCTGGAGAAGATGGGGCAAAGCTCCTTACTTTTGCCCTTCCTTAACATTATATGTCTTAACTTGTATCTAGCCATTTTGGGAAGTTAAACTTGGACTCCCACTTTTTACCACCATCCCATTTTAAGCTTTACTTACTGTCACTTTGGCAGAGTAACTTCAATTGCTCTGGGTCTGAGATGAATGAAACAACGTCAGTAGTAATTTCATCATTGTATCCTTCCATTAATGCCAAAATTGACTTTAACCAGAGCTTCAGACCAAGGTAGGAGCTAGTCTACACAATTACACATAAAATGAACTATCAGCTTGTGCTAAAAAGCAGCAGGTCATTCAATCTTTATCTACAAGGACTCTTTTAAGCATACCTATGTATGATTCAAATTTATCCTATCCTTATTGATAACACAAGCATGTCATGATCTATTCGGCACCGTTTTAGTTTCTAAAGAGAGGAAACATTCTATTCGACAAGTTTTGTTTTCAGATGACAACATACATTACGACATCATAACAAACACGATAGCATATAAACAATAATAGTAAGTGTTAGTAACTCCAAATAGAGCTCTGAGGATATGATGGATACCACATGATAAGAACAAAAATGACAATTCCTCACATTGACAGAAGGCACTAGAATCAGGAGTCAACAATCTCCGACACTGATTAGAAGTATGTTCGCATGCTGACTAATTTGTGTTACGTACCATCCAGACATTCAATGTTTATCTACAATACATGTCAACATTAAATTAGTGTAGGCTAAATTACAAATTTGGTCACTCAAATTACATAAAAGTTTCACGATTGCCACCCGAATCACTTTTCTTTCTGATTCGCTACTAACTTTACGTATCATTTCATCGTTAATCACTAACCGTCAGTCTCCGTCAGACTCCGTTAATTTTTTGATGATGTGGCAACCAGAACTGATGACTAGACCATTAACTTTATGACATGGAAATTTAAAAAATAAAATAAAAAAGAGCACCCTCTCTGTTCTTCTTCTTCTTCCTCGACTTTTTAGCCATGGCCTGTTTCAAATTGGTGAAACTTAATCTCGTTCCAAGTCTCATCTCCAATCTCCCAACTCCACTTCTTCTTCATCCACCTACAGACCCACCTCTATCTCTCCATTCCTACAACTCTTCTTCATCGCATCGCATAATATCTCCATCTATTGCTCAAAAAATCCAGCTCTACCATGGCCACCCCAACCTTCGAACACCCCAGCCTCCCCAAACGTTATAACTGCTGAAGAACCGTTAATAGCGCAGTGTTGAAACGTTAATATTAAGTAACGTTAATAACTGGTAAACTAACGTTACTGATAGCTACGACGCAAGTTAAACTTGTTGATAAATATGGACATGAAGTTTTGTTTCCACCCATGTGCGTAGGGGTGTTCAAACGGATTGGTTACCGTGGTAACCATATTAACCGGTAGTATTCGATTAATTTGGTTTGGGTAATTTGGATAATTGGTTTGGTTTGGTTAAACAATTTAGCTTATTTGGTTTGGTTTCAACACTACTAACCAATGAAACCAATTAATGATACACCTAATATACAAAATTATTTATACTTCCATGCAACCAACCAAACCAAATTTTCGTCATTCCCTATTTTATTTCCATGTGCACAACATACCAAAACATTATGGGTCAAAACTTAAATGGGTCTGTCTATTTACTAAACCAAAACATTTTGGACAGCTACTAGACTTTAGTATTACATAGAATACCATGACAACCACTTCAGACTATGAATAGTTTAAGTGTTTTGTAAGAGAGCTTTAACTTCCTGATGAGGGGTATTGGTATGTTTTTGTGTTAAGGGATTTGTTGTAATCTAACTATATTAGGTGCAAAGATGATGAATGATGTATTAACTTGAATGATGATGATAAATTGATAATCATGGATGGTTAGTCTTATTATTATTGCTTATATATAATGATAGTTTATGATAGTAACAAACATATGGTTATTTTTATTCATTAACAAGATAATTGTTTTCATGTACTGTTATGTTATTTGGTTAATCCGATTATCCGATTAACCAAACTAATTAAACTTTGGTTTGGTTAATTTTGGTTTTCGTGTTAATTTGGACGGTTTGGTTAAGACATTTTATTCCATGATTAATGAAATTTAGGCTTAATTGATTTGGTTATTACCACGATAATCATTTGAACACCCTACATGTGCAGAATGAAAATTAATTAAATAACGTCCACCAGCATTCAAGTTTCCCAAAAGTATACATGGAAACACATCTAATATTTGCATATCACACCCATAATAACATAAACCCAAAAACGTAACACCATTTATTCTTTTCCTATCTATATCGCTAATCTCTCTCTATATATACACACACCAGAAACTAAGTTACCATACGTATTTATTCACCCACAATGAAGTCGAGCAACATAACAATGCTAACGAGGGCGGCGGTGGCGATCGCCATCTCCCTGGTGGCCGTCGTCGCCAAAGCAGAGGAGGGCGAAGTAGAACCAGCGGGGTTCCTGCCGAAGATGACGACGGTGACGATCACCAACAGGCTGGAGAGCCAGGCGGAGCTGACGGTGCATTGCAAGTCCAAGGACGACGACATCGGGGTCAAGGTGCTGAGTTACAACCAGGAGTTCGGGTTTCACTTCAGGGCGAACATATTTTTCACGACTCGGTTCTACTGCTCGTTCGAGTGGCCGGACGGCGGCGGGATCCACTGGTTCGATATTTACAAGCAAAATAGGGATTATTCGGTTTGCAAGGACTGTCAGTGGATTGTGAAATCGCTTAGTCCATGTAGGTTTAATGATGTGACTAAAGCTTATGACGTCTGCTATGAATGGAACAAATCAAAAGTCTGATTAGTGAAATAACAAAATCATCTAATAATTAAGGAGAATAGTCATACCGTCGTATATATTATGAAAGTAATTAACCGAGCACGACAGTTGACCAATAACCAATTGACAATCTCCAGAAACAGAAAAACCATGGTTCAAACACCACTATATAAAATTCCTAAATGGAGAGGTCGACGAGAGGGTGGGTACCGATGAAAAGGATTAGGGACAGTCGTTCAAGGTGACCATCGGCGATGGGGGGCCGTCATTGACGAACTCGCCGGCGAGTTTAGCCATTGAGGACGACGATGCGCAATTTGCGTCACTGCACCTGTAAAAGATAATTGCGATAATAGTTAAGTTTTTGAAACAAGATCTTTTTAAATTAATTAATTCCTTTCTTAATTATCACCATTATGATTTCCGTTGCTAGTTATTAGCCTTTACTATTCCCTTAATTTACGTTCTCATCAATAATTATCTTTTAGTAATCTAATTAATTTTTCTTTTATATTTATGACTGATATGAGTTTATCATTATTGACATTTCTTCGTTTGAACTTTTGATAGTCATTTATTTGGCTTTAAAGTAGGAATACATGTTCAAATTACAAATTTCTTTCCTTACTTTTTAAGTGAAGGGTATAAATGGATTCCTCCTGTTGTGTTTAATTATTATAGTAAATATTTATTAATATTTTGCACTCATTGATTATAATGTACAAATCTTTTAAGAGTTTGAATTATATCGTTGGTGGTGTATTTTCGATAATATCGACTTTGTTGTAAAGGCAAGATTTAATCTCTTATAATAGAGATTTCTAGCACCATAGTCGTGCCTTTTTATTAGTCATTTGCATGTGCTCATCTGTTATGAAAATAATTGAAGGACGTGCAATAATCTTGATCGATCTATCAGGTGATTGTTCGATTTTATTCGCTTCATCAAATTTATGAGATCAATTAAACATGTTCTGTCAAAGATTGCTAATGCATTTTTCTTTTCTTTGTTGTGGTTTTTGTGGCAACTCGATACTGGTCATCTGACATACTTCGTCAAAGGAAACTACACTCGCTGGCGGGACTATCTTGGAGATGTTGGGTTTTTATTTTTGTTTTTCCCCCGTCAGTGTCGTGTCTTTGCTCCTTAGAGTTTCTTCAGAGCTGCCCAAGTAGTGGCTTAACAAGATATTTCATCGTAGTCTGGTTGCATACGGACTGTCGCGCAGTGTTTGAGTCGATCATGTAATCGTGTCGAGTCTTTGTCCCATGCCCTTTGGGCTTGCGTTGGAAATAAAAATTCCAGAATAAATAGGTCGGTGATACCTTCGTAGAAGGCCTGAGTTCAGGTCCTTATGCCTCATTTTTTAAGGAGGATCTTAAAGCGTTGTGATTGGTTGATTTGGTTTTAGGTAGTTGGTAAGGAGTTATTAGTTGTCAAGGGTATGTTGGGAATTATAAAGAATATAAAAACTGAATAATAAATCCTACTAATTTTCAAACCCACGTCTCGTTGGTTTTTCTCCCTCCCAGCGTAACAGGTTTTGTGTTAACCCGTCTCTTCGAGAGCAGTCTCCAGTCATCTCCGTCGTCGGGAATCTCTGTCTTTATTATCCTTGCCCAACTTCTTGTTCGCCCCAGTTTCCTGTCTGGTCCTCGCTTTGTCCCCAAAATCCGTTCCCGACTTTGCTTCGGTCCGTCGTCTATCCTGTTCAGTTTGTCGTCGATCCCTGCTCTATCCTCGGCGACGTTCAAGGTAATCTTCGTCGCCTTCCAAGGATCCCGTTCACTGACGATGGTCAATATCTTTTCCCAATCTGTTTAATTAACGTCGATCATCGGAGATTAATCCGGGGGCATCCCCGGCTCTTTCACAATTTTCTTCCCTCCCGACGAGATCAGACGGAAGGATCGTGAGCCAACCCCACACCAACAAATATCATTGTTCATACCTCGAGCTAGATGGTACAAACAATTTCCATTATTAGCATACATACATTCTTTATTAATAATATCAGCTTCATTATCAATTTTATTAATCCCATTATCAATTATTTCTTGTACTTTTCTTATCCCGCATTACAAAGATTGTTAAAACTAATAATGTGTGTTGAGGGTTTTTCACTAATACAGTTTATGATCAATTTACGTCGCCATGATTTGTAATCTTTTGAAGGGCTATGGTCAATATTTTTACCCGCTCAGTAGTCAATGTTTGTCGTATTGTGAATGTTGTCTGATAGGCCTATTAATTATGTTAGGTTGTGCTAGTAACTTTTTATTGTCGCTTTGTAATTGTTTTATCAATTTGAGGTCAAGACGACTAGATCCCAAGTTGCCGTCGATGGAAACTTAATGGATAAGCACCATTGCTTTAGTGAGGATGTCACGTGCCTTTTTTATTGTTTTTAATTTTCAATTTGAAATATTGTTAGTGGTTGGTTAGGGCCATGGTTCCACTCTCCTGAACGTGGAGTAGGATTAGGAGAGTAGTTAGGCTTTGTTTTGTTATTTAAGTGCAAGATTACTTTAGTTGGATTATGGAATAATATTGTTAAGAACCCTTTGGAGGCTTACGCCTATTACCCTTCTCCCTCTCTACTTCTTCTCTCTTCTTTCTTCCTTAATTCTGTAACTTCTTCCCAATCTCCCCTGCTTCCTTTATCTATTTCTTTTCCCCTTCTCCTTCTATCTATCTGTTCGTCTCATCCCTTCTCTTGAATCCCTTTCTTTCTTAATCACCAACCCCCACTTCCTTATTCTTACTTCTCTACAAAACCCCAACACCACCGCCATCATCAATATCTTTCCCATTTACCCTATTCTAGTTCCACCAGAACCATAGCTCCCAAACGAGACAAGGGGCTGTTGCCATTACCAAGCCCCTGGCCCGGAGTTGATCGTTCTGTTACGAGAAACTACGCAAAGGAACACAACATTTTGGTATCAGAGCCAAAACCCACCGCTGCAACCATGGAAGAGCGTGTTGCCCGACTCGAAGCTGACTTCAGGGATCTAATGACGACACAAGCGACAGTGCTGCGAGAGATGCAAGAAAGTTTTGCAGCAATGAATGCTCGTTTCGATCAGATCGGCCAGGCTGCTCCTAGGGCCAATGAAGGGCCACGAGTCAACCAAAGGAATCAGCCGCAAGCGCCGAGGATGAAGATTGAATTTCCCAAATTCAATGGGGATGAAGATCCCACCATTTGGGTTTGCCGGGCTGAACAATTTTTTACCTATTGTCAAACTCCTGACGAAGAGAAGGTCATGGTGGCTTCAATTAATCTGGAGGGGGAGGCGCAGCTGTGGTTGCAAGTCCTTAAAGAAGGAGGACAAGAGCTCACATGGGAGGAGTTCAAGAGAGATATGCATATTCGATTTGGGCCAACCCAATTCGAAGACTTCTTTGGAGACCTGACCAAGCTGCAACAAGATGGAACTGTTCGAGATTATCAAACACAGTTTGAGAGGTTGCTAGTTCGTGCTGTAAATCTTACGCCAGCTCAGCAGGTTAGCTGTTTCATTAGCGGTTTACGTGAGTCTCTTCGGATCGACGTCCAAGCTTGTAAACCCGCCACGTTGACTGCTGCAATTGGTCTAGCAAGGCTGTATGAAGCTAAAGATGTCCGAAGCCACCCAGGGGAGGGTCCAGCGGTGGCCCATGCTAGGGCCATGGAAGGCGTTCGTACCCCTCTGCCAGTCAAGAAGCTTACCCCTGCTGAGATGAATGAACGTCGTGCGAAAGGTTTGTGCTTCAAATGTAACGAGACCTTCCATCCAGCACATCGTTGCAAGAAGCTTTTTCTGATTGAAGCCATAGAAAGAGGTGGCGATCATGAGGTCGATATGGACCTGGAAGACTCCTGATTCTTGCGGTCAAGAATCCTCTCAAGGAGGAAGGAATGTCACGTGCCTTTTTTATTGTTTTTAATTTTCAATTTGAAATATTGTTAGTGGTTGGTTAGGGCCATGGTTCCACTCTCCTGAACGTGGAGTAGGATTAGGAGAGTAGTTAGGCTTTGTTTTGTTATTTAAGTGCAAGATTACTTTAGTTGGATTATGGAATAATATTGTTAAGAACCCTTTGGAGGCTTACGCCTATTACCCTTCTCCCTCTCTACTTCTTCTCTCTTCTTTCTTCCTTAATTCTGTAACTTCTTCCCAATCTCCCCTGCTTCCTTTATCTATTTCTTTTCCCCTTCTCCTTCTATCTCTCTGTTCGTCTCATCCCTTCTCTTGAATCCCTTTCTTTCTTAATCACCAACCCCCACTTCCTTATTCTTACTTCTCTACAAAACCCCAACACCACCGCCATCATCAATATCTTTCCCATTTACCCTATTCTAGTTCCACCAGAACCATAGCTCCCAAACGAGACAAGGGGTTGTTGCCATTACCAAGCCCCTGGCCCGAAGTTGATCATTCTGTTACGAGAAACTACGCAAAGGAACACTACAGAGGATGACATCGTCTCGCCGAAGGGTAGTACATAGATATCGAGTGGTATAACAAGAAGGGTAGTACCGCTGGGAAGAGTTTCTCATCTTACAAACTTCCATCTTCTCCTTGGTAAATCGCTTAGCAATTTGTTTCAATTTATCCTCTGCTCATTGCTCCACATTTCTAGCGTAGTAATTGATAGGGGTATTGATAATCGGCTTTAATATATCGGATTCTTGAACTTTATGTGACTATCTCATGATGTATTTAAGCCAATTGGCCCTATTTTAGGGCTCGCTAACCCGGAAATGGTTGAAAAACCATTACTGCCTAGTGCCATGAGTTTGATATGTTACAGGTAGAGAAAGCATGAAAAAGGAGCGAGTGCATAAGCAATAAATCGGGCTCGAATTACTGGTGGACTACTCTTTTGGGCTCAAAGCCCAGCGAGATTGTTTCTTTGGTGAAGGAAGAGTGGCGGCCAGGGGAATTATTTCTTTGGGCCTGGGGCCTGGATGAATTGGACTTGGAATTGGCTTGGGACAGAGAAGTTTTGGACGAAAGTCCAATGAATGGAA